GAAGTACGGCGAAGTATGGAATTTTTGATTTTTCCCTTTGATTTCCCTCAATGCATTTATGCTCATTATCTAATTCTAAATATACTCAACAATATTGACTAGTTTTATATTAAAAGTAGCATATGAAAAAAGGAAACTCCACTCAATCACAATCCCTTAAAAAACACATACGTGGTTTTCGTTGACATGTAACAACATCATAATCTTTTAAATTCGATCCTTCAAGTGTTTTATTTTCATTACGAAGTAATTTGCCTGAAATTGAAAAAAAAAACACAACAAATGATACGACATTTATAATTAATACTAATGAGATTTACCATCGATATAAAGATTCATTTCATCTGCTTTTATTCCAAAATCAGATTCAGATTCAATTACAGCTTTTAAATCTTTTATTGTAAGATCAGGAGCTATTTCAATTGTTAATAACTCTTCAGTATCACCATAGTTCGCTACTGAAATATGCATTCTTATCTATTCAAAACCAAGAATATTGAGTTTTAATCTAAAAAAGAAATAATTATTCATTTCTTTGTTTTTTTCAATACTGGTAATAGATCATCGTCTTCATCTTCTTCCTCAATCTGTTGTTGAAATATTGGTTTAGGTTGTGTATGTACATAAGCTGGTGTAATCCATTTTGGATTAGATTCAGCTTCTTTAGCATATTTCAATAGTTCAACTCGTGAATCTTCTTTTTCTATAAAATTAGGTTTTACTATTGTTTGAATAAGATGTTGATGTAAGGAAGAAGATTTATGTTCTTCTTTTCTTTTTTCTGGAAAAATCTTTTTGTTTGGCTCATGTATAGAATCTGAAGTCGAACTAGAGGCTAGAATTGGATCAATATTTGTAATAAAATCATTTGTATCTTTAGATTTTCTTTCTTTACGATTAAGACATAAACGAACACCAGCCATAGGTGATCGTTGTTCATCATAAAATACACGAATAAGTCCATTATTGGTTGTCGTAAATATTTGATTTAATTTTGGATGCCATATTGTTCGAATTACACTATCATTAAATGTAATTTCATTACATATTTTTGATAAATCATTTCGATTAAATATTATTAATTTTCCATTTGTATGATTATCATTATTAGTTGAATTAATCAATTTTGATACACCAGTGATAAGATATTTATCATTTGGTGAAAATGATATATTTGTCATAGAAAAATGATTATAAATATTTTCATAAGATGATAAACATTGATTAAATTTTCTTATATCCCATAATTTAAGTGTATGATCAGTTGATCTTGATGCTAATATTTGATTATCATATGACCATTTTAATGATGTTATTGATTCATTTTGTAAATGTGCATTTAAACATTTAAATGTAACATGTACAAATGATCGACGACGATCCCATACAAGTATACTACCATTATCACAACCAGCAGCGATTAAATTTAAATTCTCATTATGATATAATGATTGATTATATGTACAAGTTGTTGTTCGTACATCACGACCCGATTCACCTTTTGTACGAATAACATGTAATTGTTGATCACGTTTATTTAATGACCATATACGTAATGTACAATCATCAGCACAAGTCATAAATTCTTCAGAATTTGATGATGGATTCCAACAACCATAATTTAATAATGATTTATGGCCTTTTGTACGATTCATATCAGTTACATACATGTCACCAAGTACTGTTTTGTAAATAATATGTTTTCCAGAAGCTATAAAAAGAAACATTAATTAGCTGTATCTGCAGTTTGACATATAATATAAGAAATAATTAAGAGACATTTCTATGCAACTTGTTATCCTTGATTAAATTTAGATTAGATATGGGCAAGATAAACTCGGTGGTACCGAAATCAAAACCGACTAGGTCCCGCTTAGGTCCAATTAAGATGTTTTTTTTTTCTAAGAAAAATTTAATCTTATATATGCCATATGGTATGGAACATTCAAACTATTCTATTTTTACTACCGTGCGATGTAATAGTCTTTGAAAAAAATATATTAAATCGAACATTTAATGTTAAAAAGAGTTGGCTATATTATGAAAAGAATTTATTTATCAAATCATTCTTTGTATAAAAGTAACGAACTATGACTATTGTGTATCTTTCTGAAATGCGATCTCAAAGGAGAGTTGAAGTATACAGATAGAAATCTCAATCAATATATTAACTACTTTCTGAATACATTTGTAAAGGATTAAGTAAAATGATGATGAAGAAATGTTTCCCAAAATAGATAGAATAAAACTAACTCTGAGATTAGCAATAGTAGCTATATCAGTCTCACATTTAAATTCTGCAGGGATTGCGATAACAGTCTTTAATATATATTTATATATATCATATCGAAGATAATCATATTGAATTTCTTTTGAGACTTTGATTCTCTACCTTGGTATTTGATTCGAAACAAATGATAGCTAATATCTCAATTATCTTTAAACATTAAAGCCCGTAGGATTAGCCTCATATCCAGAGCAGAATCTGAACCAGTCTTAATTCGAAAATTGAAAGGTTCCGATGGACTCGTGCCGTCTGGAACATGTATAGAGTGAGTTTGTGGCCGAAACCAAACCAACCAGTAAAGAGCAGCTCATATCTTCAGATGATCATCGCATTCGGATTTGAAAATTTCATGGAGAATAGCAAAATACGGTTCAATTGTGTCCAAAAATTTTGAAATTGGCTAGCTCTTCTGAGCACTGTACCTCTCTCCTGTCTGTACGCCCACGAATTCGTTCTTTTCAACAAGTTTGATATTGTTTTACTTAGAAATATGCTCCGATATTTTTTATTATATATTATATCAAACTATTTAATCGCGACAATATATTTTGATAATCTATCACAATTTATATTCTAGATTGTGATAAAAGTTATATGATTTTAACGAGAGAGAAATATTCATTAATAATACATGATAAATTTTGATTTTTCTTTTAATTCATATCGAAAATCTCTTATCTCGTACCTTCTCGATTAACAATGATTGCTTGACAATCGCCCGGAACAATAAGTATCATATCATTATTTGCACTATATTCAATAGCTCGTAGTAATCGTCCAGGACATGGTTGAACCGTTCGAAATGGTTGAAAATTTTTATCCATTGATGTAAAATCAAACATTTTCATTGTTTCATCATATCCACCTGTAATCATACGCATACCATTCGAATCTAATGTTAAACATGATACAGTTTTAAGACCATGAATAATATTTATATGAGAAGATATTGGTAATACATCCTCAATATCATCTTCAACATCACTATTACTCGTACTCGTATCCGACATCTATAAAGAAAAACAAAGTCCATTATTTCCCATTAACAAATAATTTATTTCAAAGAATATTATTGCAAAGGAAAAAAAACAAACTGTTCTTTTGTTTTTTTTCTTATATAAAAAATACGATTTGACTAGCATAATTTCTACATCTTTTTTTTTTGCTTTTTCTATACATTATACCAATCAAGAAAGAGAAGTGAAAAAATCATGACAAGTAAAAAAAATATAACCCAACGACGCATTTGTGCTGTATTTCGAATAGCATCACGTATATGTATAATAGCAGCAGCCAAATCATCATTACTAGCAACAGCTGCCGTGTCAACTTCTTGAATAAGATCTTTCTGAATAAGTATATTATCGAATAGTTCATTTTGTAATTGTGCTATTTCAACAACTTGTGATGATATAGCACGAATTTCTTCACTACGTTGGGCAACATCACTATATAATTGATTATTTTCTAATTGTAATTGTCGAAGTTTACTACCAGTCGGTGGAGTTGATGGAATTTGATTTTCTTCATCGTTTTCAATAGGATTATCTTGATCAAGATGTTGAGTAGTAGTAGTAGTAGTAGTAGTAGTAGTTATGTTACTTGAGCTAAAATGAATTATCGAAATATAAAATAAATTTTATTCTGTGAAAAGATGCTAACTTGTTTTCAATTATGTTCATTGACTTTTTTGTACTATCGACAAGATCATTTGTCTTTTTTCGATTATCATTTTTATGAATATTTAAAATGACATGTTGATTGTCAGTATCAAGTCGTCCAATTTTTTTTCTTTCTGATTCACGTTTATATCGTAAACATTTTTGTTCACTATAAATTTTAGTACATTCAACTAAATCACGTTCTAAATAAGCACAAACTAATTCAAAATGTGAACGACGTTGTCCTTGAAAACAAATTTGTCCAATAGATGATTTTAATTGTTCTAAATCATGTCGACATTGTTTTATTTGTTTTTCAATATTATGTTCAAATTCTTGACGTTGTTCATCATTCATAATTTTATTTGTTGATGATAAAAGATAATGTGGACTTAAATAAATTGTACGAGATTTAAGTAAAACATGTTTTAATTTTATTATATCATTAAGAATTAGTTTTGCTCGAGATAAAAATTTTGTTGAAATTTTTTCATTTTTTTCTACACATTTATTTAAACTAAGATTAAAATCATTTGTTACTTGTTTAGCTTTTATAACAGCACGAAACACTCTAGTTATATCAGTCATCTAGAAAATACAATTGATTATGCATATATAATTAAGATTTTTGTTTTGTTTCCAAGAATCCTTTATTTATTGAGAAAAAGAAAGCACATATAGAAGAAGAAGAGACCTTTAGAAGATCGGGACAGAATACGAACAACTATCTCGTTATTGTGTATAAAGACAAAAATATAGTTGATGTTTCTGTACAATATAGACATAATACGCAACGTTTAATATTTTTTTTTCTGTGTTTATAAAGCATGATGGATATATTTAAATTTTATGTGGTGGACCATCATCATCGTCGTTGTTATTTTCAACAGCATTGTCTTGTTGATCATCTGTACCACGTTTACGTTTCTCACCTTTTGATGGTTCTAAATAAGTGAAAGATACGAGACATGACTTATCGAAAAAAAAAACCATATAAGATTTACTTTCAATAGATTCAGCTGAAACATCACCTTCTGATAAATCATCATCTTCATCTAAAGATACGAAGAAACAATTGAAAATGTTTAATATCTAGTACAAATAAACGCACCAGATTCTTCTTCTTCATCATCACTATTTCCTTCATAACTTTCTTCATCATCATCATCGCCTTCTTCAAATGTTCCATTATACAATGCTTTTAAACCAGTTTTACTATCATCCTAAAATTATGAACATTTTACTTAATTCGTTATCAACATTATATTCATTCATTCTTTCTTTATTAGTCTTAAGTCACACCTTCTCGAAAGTCAATTTTCATTAGAATTATCAAAATTAACATAAATGCATAGAAGGATAATAGAGTTAGACGACTATCAAAATATCACATGGAACCAAAACAGTAAATTATCAATCTATTGTGAAACATTTTTACATTTATCTGATAATTTAAAGGCTTCAGTTTTTAGGATCGCTAAACTTGAGAGGAGAGTCTTTAGAGCTGAATTTTCATAAATGATATAGTTTTGTTTGGAAAATAAGCTGTTTTCAGAAGTAGAAAATCTTTTTTCGATTTTTTATCTCTGTTTATGCTTTGTTGATTACGCATCGTGAAATGCTTGAAGAAACCTGATTGTAGTCAATTGTTTATCTTATTGGTTGAAAGAGCATGTCAAGATGTATTGTATGACAAAGCAAACTTTTCTGAAATAAGCTTCAGAAACTATTACATGAAATAATACTTTTACACTCAGAACACCATTTTTTATAGTATTGAACTTTTCTCTATTTAAAAATGAAATTTGTCCAATAGATGATTTCACTTTTTTTTGGTTGAATATTTTCAGAAATATGTCAATTTATGAAGGTAAAAATTTCATGCAATCTACATATATCAAATCCGAAATCGATTTTTGAGACGTCATAACTCATTCCTTAACAAATTCAAAATATTAATACAAGGATCTATCATACCTCTTCGTATTCATCATCATCTTCTTCTTCATTGTCTTCTGAAAAATAAAACATATATAACGATTTATTTTCTTTGAAAAGAGAACTTCATTTACCACCATCGGATGCACCATGTTCATTGTCTTCTTCAAGTTCATCTTCATCTTCATCATCATCTTCATCATCACTATCTTTTTCCACTAAATTAAAAAAAAACTCAATAGAGAAAAACCGACATAAAAAAATATTCCTTTTATGCTTACCACCGTCTTTATCCGCATTATCAAGATATTTTAATTGTGGCAACATATTAAACATTGTTTCTCGATAACCATCAACCGATGTAACTTCACAATTCATTAAATCAAGAATTGATAATTTTGATAATTTAGTCTTTTTATTAAAAAAAGGAATAATATATTTAAGATTAGTATTCTAATCATCAAAAAAAGAAAAGAAACTAAATAATTTATCTTACTAAGGGTTTAAGTTCATCAATTGATTTAAATTTATTCCCAGCAAGTATAAGTAAAGTTAAATTTGGACAACCTTCGAGATTTTCTAATCCTGAACTTAAACGATTATCACTAAGATAAAGCTTTAAAAAAAAAAAAAGAAAATTTCAACTAAAATAAACACAAATGAAAATCTTACTTTTCGAAGTTTAGGTAATGTTGGAAATTTCGCAAGAGATTGAAGGCCAACATTAATTATTGAAAGTACACGTAAATTACAAAAGTCATTTGTTAGACCTTGAATAGAATAACAACGTGCACAATTATCTAATACAAGTTCATTAATCTATAGAGAAAAATATCGTTTAAACATTATTAATATTTAAAAGAAATGGGAATATTATTTACTGAGCTCGGTTCACGACGTTTTACTTCAAGTGCAATACGTTGTACCATAGAATTTTGTTCAGTAGCAACACTGTTTTCATCTTGCATGCTTTGTTCAGACATGATAAGAAAATCAAATCAAAAATATTATTTTTATCTAAATGGATGAAGATAGAGAAACACCGAAAAAGAGAACAATGGAGTCATGCAATAGACGACAACAACGACAAATATATATTGAATGTAGTTGTATACAAAAAAATTTGACGTTAGATGCCACTAGTTTACAATAATCAATGTTTGTTATATTTAGAATTAAAATAATCTCTCATTTATTATTTTGATCATAGCTGTTTTATTATTCGTTTGTTCAGATTGTTATTCTTTTTTTGTTTATCGAAAAAATCTGCTTTTATTTCTCTATAAAGTAAAATAGTTTCTATTTCTGTACATAACGTCAATTATTTTCTGAGATATCTTTCAAACTAGGAATGTAACGAGACAAGTTCATTAATTGTTCAATTGTTGGCTAGCCGATTTTAGATAACTCATATTTTTCTTGCAACACTTGCATTCTAGTTTATTAAGAACTGTTTTTTGTTTATTTTCGATGTTACTTAATTTAATTTCAGGTTTTCTATTCAACTTGCATCTATTTGAAGCCATACCATTATAGCTTGTTCTTAGGCTCTTAGGTTTTTTCCAGTTATTAGATCTTAAACCATCAGAATTTGGAGCTTTCCGACAAATGACAGTGTGTTATAGATGTTTGAATACAATGAAAGAACATCGTGTAGTGCAGTAACAATGTGTATTCGACACAGTGTTATTTTGTGTTATGGAAAACCTATGTAAGTTCAAGCACTACAAACTTTTTACTCTTTTAGTCCACTCTTTAATGGTTGAAGTTTTGAAAAAAAAAATATGATATTTTTCATAATCAGCTTGACATGTTTTATTAACTAGATGGATTTAAACAGCTTTTTGAGAAAAGAGAATCATTGAAGGCCGAGTAGCCACAATCATGTTGGTATTCGGAATCGGCACGATCGATTCTCTATAATACGCTAGGTTTCGAATAAAAAGTGGTGACCATGTTGGTCATCTTCTCTTGTAAAATAAAGAGTTTTGTAAAA